CCGTTTCGGAGAATAGCCGGCACAAACAGTCAGACAGACGGACAGACAGAAAGACAAAAATTTTAAAAATCGTGTTTTGTTATAAGTACCGTATATACGTTCATATGCATATAGTAAAAGCTGTTATTTTGACATTACAAACAGATACTTCAATTTTATTTATTTTTATAGACTAATTACCCAACCATTTTCCTCCAACGTAAATTGTTTCTGAGTTTTCACATATTCAACTTCGAGACTATGGGTGATGAATTCCGCCAACACACATCGCATATTTTTCATCTAAGTACCTTTTCAAAATCCCAAAATAACAGTAACAATTAAACTTAATTGAAATAAATACCAACTAATGCAAATCTATACATGTTTTTATTTCAAAATTTAGACACCAAGCCCTCATAAGGGACACAAATTATACACTCAAAATAATATTTTCATTGAAAAGCATCGGAGACTAAACATTGTCAATAATAACGTCCAAAAGTTTCAAAAATTTCTTTTATAATTCACAAAAAATTGATAACGAATATTCTACATTTTATTTTACAAATATCTGACTTTGGCCGCATAATTAAGTCAAACGCTAAAGATCTACCAGATAAAAATCGTGAGTCATCTATTATCACTTTTCAATTCATCGGAAATATCACGGGTACCCCTAACGTCACATGTGATGCACGCGAGATGAAACGAACGAACCATTGATGTCATCAAACTTTCGCTTGCGTCACTAAAGCTTAATTACAAAAGAATTTTGTAGCATTATTGGAACGAAAACCACAACAAAGCAAACTGACCAAATTTTTGAAATTTTATTTTCCTCAACGAAGTAGCGGAGTATTTATCGAATTTCATGTATAATACAGACAAAGCGAAATAATTTTTAATTTTACGAATAACGTTCTCAAATCGAATACTCATACGCCAGTTTATTCGCTTATAAAATAAAAAATAAAACAGATTCGAAAAATTAATATATTGGACAAAAATCTATCTGAATATTGGTAATAATTTGTTTAATATAATTGCAATATAATATCCTAGTAACTAAAAATAGAATAGGTTAATACAGGACCAAAATAAGATTGTGAATAATGTGTTATGTAATAAAGAACCATCATTAATAATTCCAGAAAAATTCCATCATTGCCAACCTCGTTACATGGGCCATTAGAAATGTTTTTGATGTTGTTAAATCAAATCAATTATGTGTTGATAAAAATTCCATTGCCTTAATATAAATCGAAGCGGAATGTTGTTTCCATAGATATACTATTTAATATTTTGGTTGTTTCGTTTTTCAGTGTTATAATACGGTTGACATTTTTCAATTTATCACCGAGTCAGGACAGCGTTACGTTTCACTTTAAATCTACTTATCATTATTATATCTTTATATTTGTATTAACTAATACATATTGTGTATTGGATTTTTAGTATTGGAATAATATAAATATTTTTATCTCAAGAGAATGTCTCCTGAATCCTATCCCGGATCCTGAAACTGTTTACGTGGTAGAGCCATGCTGCAGCTATATCACTGTTATAGTTGTAGCACGAATGTGTCGGCTCGACCGGAGAAAGATCACGCTCTCATAGGATAGCAGCTTAAAATAGCAGATAAAATAGCTTAACGCTGCTGTATTTCGTATGGTGAGTGCAGAGAACCGGATACCCTTTTTACTGGAAACGAGGCATTCCATCTTAGTCTTCAGGGGTGACAAGGCATCTGCATTTTAATTCGTATTCGAGTATAGATGTAGATGTCTATGGGCCACAACAACCACTTATCTACTATCAGGTGGACTGTGTACTATACCTATTAAAAAAACAGTTTTATATGATAGAAAAAAATGTGATTTAGGAAACCAAACACAATGGTGGCTCCGATCGTACGGGAGCAGAACGTTCATTGTACGAAAATATTCACAAACGGTAGAATTCGTAATCAAGTTCGATCGAACTCAAGTTATGAATTGCAATTTAAGTGCTGATCACCACTCGTTCGGCGATTAATAGTAACATCAGACGCGAAATTGAAGAAATTTTGTAGTACATTATGGCGCGTCTCCACCAAAAATGTTGACAACATTTATATTTCCGACATGTTGACAAATCAACAAAAGTTGACGACATTTGTTTCAAAATGTTGCAAATCAAAGGAATACGCTTGTTGCCGACATTTGTTCCCTCGGTGGAGACGCTTCTTGCAACATTTTGAAACAAATGTCGCCAACTTTTGTTGATTTGTCAACATGTCGGAAACATAAATGTTGTCTACATTTTTGGTGGAGACGCGCCTTTACATAAGAAATCCGCCAATTTGCGATGGAGCAGCGCGGCGGTTCTGACTATACCTACCCCACTCCATAACCGTCTTAAGAATGGTAGGAGATATGTGCTCAAAAATGTGACATATGTAACCTATTTATTTATTCTCTTAATTAACAGCAGATATTTTATTAATAATAATTTGATTAGAAAAATAAACTGACGAAAGCATTTTTGTCTGACTACGTGCATACAAACGTAATTAATAAATGATAATAACATCCGACTTTTAGTTATCATTACTGTACGAATTATCGCAATTAACCTTGCTTGAGATAACAACGCTTGCGGAGTTGTGACAAAATTGCGTTAGAAACTCATATTATGAATATAATAATTGCATTTATTTTATTAGTTTATATAAAAATCAGGTAACTTCCTGCTCAGAACTACCTACTGTGCGATTCTATATAGAATATGGACTACAGGAGCAGATAATAAAACAGTCAAAGCAACTAACACTCACGAGCACTTTCATTTATCTGTCTCTATTTTATACTCAATAAGCATTAATCTGGAGCTAAAAACTAAACAATATTTCTAGGTGACAATACCTGTTAGGGGTAAAGTTTTTGTTATAAGTAAGCGAAAAACAATTTTATCAAATCATTTTTCGTCAAAATAATGAAAGAAAACGCGCTTCCACTAATCCTTAGTAAGTAATTTATAAATATAAATTGCCTAATATATGATATATATTTTATATCTAGTAATAATATAATATATATTGTAAACTGTGAACCTTTTTAATTAAGAAAATAGATTTTTTTTAAATTACTTAAGGCTTTCAATATTGACACCTATCATTTATTGGTAAATGTCGACAAACACTACTTAAAGTCAATAAATACGAACACATAATGTGCTTAACATTGATACCTACTTATCTAAGATTAAACTAAAAATAAAAAGCAAACAACGTAATAAATTTCGCCTCATTAATTGCGGTGTTACGTATAATTAAAATTAATTGACTGTGTTGCTGAAAACATAACTGTAATCTTTTGTTTATTAACCTTAAAAACGTATGTCACTGGCAGCATGACATATTTTACTCATTAGCATAAAAAATAAAATAAAAAGGCGACTTTTAAAACGCGCGTGTGAACCAGCATGGCGACAATAAAGATAATGTCAGTGGGTGTATGGGAGAAAGTGGGTGCACACTGAACAGCAATGTTTTAAGCGGCACGTCACGGTCTTCGATACCGGTCGCTTACGGTCAATTTCTCACCCAGGTTCGGCGTAGGCGACCGCCCACTCAACTGCATTCAGTTAGAGTAATGTCTTTCTTTACCGCCATCAGCTACCGGCGACTATGGCCACCACACCTATCGCTAAATCTTAATAGATCTAACTACATTACAATCTGATCAATAAGACTAGTGATACTCTCAATATTTCAAAATATTATTAATATATTTAAATTTGTATGATAATAGCGGTAAAAGTACTTTGATTATAATAAAAATCGAATTAAATTTTTAAATTAAAAACTGACCTAGCTTTTAAACACTACAAAAAGTATTTAATTCAATTTATATAATGGAGTAATTTATCGAAGACGGTTGAAACCTTGGTTTAAACTAGCTAAATGCAGTTAAAATGACAGAAATTCGTTGCAAAAAGTGAAGTATCGCTACAAAAAAGTCTAAAATCGCTCCGTTTTAAACCGCTGCGAAGTGTAAGATAATGTCACGTTTTTAAATAATATTGTCAATTGATTGAATAACAAATTGCCCAATCCAACCAGAACTTATTATTACATGGTAACAGTTATTATTCTTTGCAATTGTTATTGAACAGAACAGTCTTAGCCTCGATAACTTATAAGCTTTTTGACTGTGATCGTCAGCCTCTTCTGATACAACGGGCTGCGATTGTAATTCTATCTGTCAATAATTATTACGGAGCGTAATCCGTGATTGATGATCGCAAACGGTAGCGGCAAACTTATAATTGACGGCCACCATTGTGCCCGGCGCCCGCCGCTTGATTGATCGCGCCACTGGTGATCTCAGTTGCAACACTCCATAATATAAAACCCCGTTCTTAATTACATGTGCCTATAATTAGGTGCCATGTTATGAAATAGAAGCCTCGATCGTATGCAGAAAGAGTTGATTAATTATAACACAATCAATCAATATGTGAAATCAAATAATACTTTCATATATCACTTAGAACCGACATTATCAAGTCTCAAACGTTATAGCGCTGTATAATATGCTATCTTCTAAAATCCATGTGAGTTAATCTGTACAAGCTCGCACCCATGTTCATAGATACATGTTTTTATATAGGTGTCTAAGTGCGAACTTTCTAGGACGCAAATGGAAGTCGCTAAGTATGATCTAACCGCTAGATAGGTAGCGTAGAGCGGGATCCGTCGCTGCGAACAATTACCGGGGCCAGCGTCGCGGCGTGCGCCCGCGCCGGCGATTGTTTACGGCGCGCACGCGCGGCGGGCGCGTGGCCCCCCGCGCCCCGCCGGCAGCTGCTCCGACTCCGCACAGGTGGCGCGTGTGGGAACTCGACAGCTCCATGCGTTCCCACGATCGCGCGCCCTCCGCTCCCTATATAAGCCCCCGCCCGACCACCGAATCGCATTCCGCGTTCAACGCTCAGCGCTAACGCACGCTTACTAACATTACAACACTCTTCCAAACATGTCTTACGAGATCGCGTATTCTCTCGCGGACGATGGCCCGCAGCCCGTCTCGCGCACTTATCAATATCGAAAAGTGATGAAGCCGATGCTTGAGCGCAAGAGGCGCGCTCGCATCAACCGTTGTCTCGACGAGCTCAAGGAGTTGATGGTCAGCGCTCTTCAGTCGGAGGGTGAAAACGTCGCCAAATTGGAGAAAGCTGACATTTTGGAGTTGACCGTTCGTCATCTGCACAAGCTTCGCCGCCAGCGCCGACTTTCTGTGAACCCAACAGTTGACGCCGACCGCTTTCGGGCTGGATTTACGCATGCCGCAAATGAAGTGTCCCGGTGCTTGGCTTCAATTCCCGGTGTGGACGTGAGGCTAGGAACGCAGCTGATGACTCACCTCGGACATAGATTGAATGACATGCAACGCGCTGCCGCCGGTGCTGATACACCTCCAGCGAGTCCTCCGAGCCCAGCATTATCAACTGTGTCGTCCTCTTCTGGTTACGTGACTCCATCGCCGCCAGCGTCTCCGGTTCCTGTACACACTGCCGTTCCCCTGGACTGCACAACAAATGCAAATTTCAAAACTCCGGCCGTATGGAGACCCTGGTAAATCGCGGTGCAAGGAGCTGGCGGACCCGGCTCCACGGTCACATCTGTTCCAGCACCGCTCGGAGTCGCACGCGCTCCCAAGTGTCCGCCTGATCCATAAGTTTAGTGATATTATGTAGAAAACATAAAAGGACTGTTAGATCTCACAGTTATTTAGTGTTAGGTTTTAAAATCATAGTTCGTAAGTTCAACTTGAAAGCTTTAATTGAAAATAGTTTATAAGTTATTTTGTGATATTAAAAGAGTTAATATTATTGTTTAAAATAAGAGATGTATCGAGCCTTACCCTACTTTGAGTGGGTTCGGATTGTTATTTTTTATCGTTAAAAGATTTCACAATCATGAGAATAATTACAAAAGAGATAGAGAGAGAGAGAGTAATTTAATAAAAACATTATTTTGTAAACATATTCCTGTATTTCATTATCTGCCAACCCTGAATAAAACCTCTTGTTCATTATACTTCAACTTTTCGAAAAAGACATACAAAAAATTTTTCTAAACAGACAAACTGAAGTTTCCTAAATAAAGAACACAAATGAAGCAGTGATGACTTGTGATAGTTCACGTAATAATACAGTATAAATAATGCGGTTTCTGTATGCGCATGTTTAAAAACAATACTTTGTAGACAATACGATAAATATTAAAGGAGGTGAAGGGCGCAGACATATGACACAGCGCGCCGCGCCGTCCCGTGCTCAGTAACTTTCCTGTTTACAAATCATAGGCACGTACGCAAATATCAAGCCTCGTTGCTACTCCAATTATTCACGAAGAAAATACACACTTGGTAACGAGACTCTTGCTGACCACTTAAGATTTTTTAAATTTATAACGATGACGACAAATGACAAAGTAATTTTCCTCTAAATCATAAATCTTACGCCTATAAATACAATATTTTTTTAAACGTTACCCCCACACTAGGATTTTTCCTGTATCCTGGAGGCAGTTTACAAACACAAATTGCACAAGAACAAACATTCAGACCCGTAACAATTATTTGTAGGCCATACATTTACTTGTTCCGTACGGCATTCGAACACGCGGCCCCCAGCGAAGCAACTCATTGCTAAGCCACTGCGCCACGGAGCCGTCAATACTCGTATAATATATAATATATAACAATATAGAAATTTTAATAGCAATTAAATCATTTCACAAACTAGAAAATAACTTAAATAACTTTTATTGCTTCTTAGAAGCCAACAAACAACATAGATACTGCACTAAATTATTAAAATTTGCCCATGAAATTCTACTTTTTCTATTAAACTCGTAAAAACTGAATCTTTACAAAAAGACTAGATATTGATTATAGTGACTAAAGTAAACACTGATTTATTTTATTAATTACCTAACATTAATGTTTTAAGTTCGTTATTATTGCAAAATAAGTCGAAACAACATATTAGCAAATTTTCATCCACATTATTTCTTCAATGTTATTATTTATTAGCAAGCCTGTGTCAAAATTATTAGATATATAATATACAATGTAAATTTCAATGCTTTTTATTTTTATTTTACTCGCGGTCGTCTGACCAAACCCTCTTGCTAACAGCTCATTTATTACCGAAGTACGAAGACATGGGATCAAAATATTAATAAATAATAAAGTGCTATGAAAAAAAAAACAAAAATAGATTTTTGTTATTTATTTATATAATGTATTTCAATATGAGTATATATCGAGTTAAACAAAAATGCTTTATAACGCCATCTTAAGTTTTTTTTTAAAAAATCGAGTGATTAAAAAATGCCAGTACCTTAATTTCTAACGCTATATTAAGATTTTTCTTATTTTTGTTCTTGTCCCTTATCTATAGTGTAAACATCGGAATACCATACGAAAAAATCCTTGTTTTGTTGACTAAACTGTTATGTAGAGATCAGGACTTATCTAATATTTTGCAGCTTACAGCTCTACAAAATTAATTAAATCAATTAAGGTGACACTAGTCGACATTATTTCCATAGAAATTTCGGAGGGGTTTTACTCCGCTGTTTGACAGTGTACATCCAAAATTAAACATGATATCGTTTTGTCTCATTATTAAATTTGTCTGTACGGAAACAGAATAGTAAAATAAAATGTTATTAAAAAGTTACGAGCTACCAAAGATTCGTTTTTATTGCCAATTTTAACACAACTTTGGGCGTAAATTAGTAATAAAAGAAGTGTAAAATTTCCAAAACAAAGTCGGTACCGACACAGGTAAATTATCGAAGAACTCAATAAATTTTATTTGTAATTGATTAATGCAGTGGTTTTTTCATAAAACCCCTTCTTCCAAAGGCCTTTTCGTATTTTTTTACGCGCGCATATTACTATGAATTATCGTGCATCTCACTGAATAATGTCTCCCCCGGTGCGGTGCGGGAGGACGATGCTTACACACACATGCACAGGCGGTGACGCGCGCTTATAAGTATTCGAGTTTTATTCGAAACGAAAAGTTTTGCTATTTTGTAATTTGGACGCCAAAGACAAAAGACGGCATGGAAATTGATATAATTGAAAGAGATGATGCGTTTTGGACGACAGACAATATTTTAAAATTTTCGTCTGTAATATAATATAATTATAAAAGTAAAAAAAGTAAAGTCTATATTCGATTACTATATAAAATTGCAACAATTTCATTGGTGCCGACGGGGATCGAACCCGGGTTGCTCGCGTAATGTGATACTTACAGCGAGCGCTAACCATCTGAGCTACCACGGCTCTCAATGCAAGTGTTATAAATAAATAAAGAATTACAAAACAGTTTAATTATTTATTAGACGACTTTTGCGGCGGATAAACAAAGTATATTATGTGGGATTTTCATAGGTACCTACTGTTATTACCTAGATACCTACAATCAACAATACAACAAAATGTCACAAAACCTCGCCGCGTCGTGGCCACAAAATTGTAAACTTTAGGTAGGTACGTCGGTACTAAGAAAACAATCTTGATGGGTCACTTGTCTTGATAAAAACCTGTGTTTACGTTTAGTGATATTGAGTATATATAAAAAAATAAGAAGCCAGGTAAGTAAGTATTTTTGAAAACAATTTATAGGTAGGCAGACCAATTACGATTATTATCTAAATATTATAAATGCGAAAGTTGGGATATTTGGATGGACGGATGAATGGATGTATGTTACTCAATCACGCCAGAACGGCTGAAGGGATCTGGATGATATTTTGCTCAGAGATAGGCTATAGTCCGAAATTTTTTTTTCAAAAAAACTTTACCCCACACTAGGATTTTCTCCTGTATCGTGGAGGCAGTTTACAAACATCCAGACCCGGAACAATTATTTGTAGACCATACAAATACTTGTTCGATTGATTCGAACCCGCGGCTCCCAGTACAACAATTCATTGCTAAGCCACTGCGCCACGGAGCTGCCAAATATCATATATGATACCGTTTATTCAGATATTTCGTTGCCGTGGGATAATTATCGAGTTACACACGTTCGAAGCCGAACTCTTGAGTGATTGCTGCATGACCACTCGGGGAAAACTAAACATAATAAAATAAGCAATCTATATTAGGTATATAGAGCCACAGACGTATACCTAATAATTTCGTGGATTCACCCGCGTCATCACGTGTCCGAGATGCGTGGCATGACATGACACCTAGTTCCAGCATTTTATAATTGCAATCAAATATTTTATTTGATTGTAATATATGGAAAAATTGTCATGATTAATGGAGTACTTTTATTTTATCTGTCGGCATATTATGCGCGGTTTTTTCCAGTTTTAAAGAAAAACGTACACGATTCATGAAAAGTGTGTTGGCAAGAAATGATTCTTGATAAATTTGCTATCAACCTCTTATACTTATTAATTAATTAAATTTAAACTTTCAAAATACCATAGCAACGTGAAATTAAAGAGTTCAGAAATAAAGATGTAACTAATCATTCATACGGTCACCCGGGAGATAGATAAAAGTACTCAATTAATTTTGAATTTATTTTAGCTACTAGCTGTACCCCGCGACTTCGTCCGCGTTTAGTTTAGGGCGTTAATATTGTTGCAAAGACACCTAATAATTTTTCTAAAATTTAAGCAGGCTAAGTTACTTCTTATAACATGAGCTATCTAATAGTGAAAGTCCCGCCCAAGTCGGTCCAGCCGTTTTGGAAATTAACCGCAACAAACAGACTGACAGACATACAAAAATGTTAAAAATTGTGTTAATGTTATAAGTACCGTATACAGTTTCATACGCAATTAGTAAAAAGCTGTTATTTTGACATTATAACAGACACTTCAATTTTATTTATTTGTGTATATATAGATAACGATTGAACTAACGGCTAACCTAACCTCGCTCATAGAAGCTTTCAATACTGGCTTCTCAGTTCGCACCGGGCTAGGGGTTATGCGTTGTTTGCGCGTCAAGCCAAGTAGGTATTGAATTATTTTAATTTTACATTATTTCTTAAACTATGTACTATATAAACATGGTATAAAGAACGAAGTTTATCTTCATAAAATTGTCTTGATAATGAAGTAACTTTGGTTCGTAAGGTGCCTAATAATTAAATTTTCATTTTTTTGTCACAAAATGCCTAATTGTGGCTTATATATAAGAAATAGACATATGGTATCGCGGACTTTTTTTAGACGGAGTAAAGATCTATATTTTTCTAGAACATTGTATTTACGTATCCCGAACCATAACAGCGCTTTTTCTTCTGACTTCCTATATATAGCCTAATGCTGTATAGCCTATACTATTCAACATGAATCTGGCTATAATATCCAAAAAAAGATTTTTCAAATCGGACTGGTAGTTCCAGAGATTAGCACGTTTAAACAAACAAAAACCCTCTTCTGCTTTATTATATTAGTATAGATGTTGCATCGTGTTCGTGTAACTTCGTTTTTATTCTAACGGTTCGGAACACCGTACGAACAAGACATGCGTGAATACTAGTGTCGATATGCTCATCACTGATACTATCTCTGTCGGGCACGATG